CCCCCCCCCAAAAAAAAAAAAGAATCTCCGGCTGTGTTTGGATAGAAAATCTGCGGCATGACTTCATTAATCTGCAGCATGTTATGTAATTATGTATATACATATACAATCAAGATCATGAAACCATTTAGTTGATCATATTACTCATTAAAAAATTAACATTTTTCTAAGAACCATCAGATTATTGATACCAAACAATTAAACAAGAGAGGAACAAAATAGATATTGTCATAATTCATACCTCATATATTCCACTAGTGCTAATTCTTCTTGAACTTACAATGCATATATGGATTTGAAAGGCTACAACATTCTACACATCAAATCACTGTATGCACATACAAGACACAAAGAAGAGTAAAAAGTGCATACACAACATGTTTAATCCGTCACTGAGAAAGTGGTTCAGTGGAATTGTAGGACAAAGGGCAGAAACATGACAAAATCGTAGGTTAATTAATTCTTTTACAACAAAACTTCACCGATTTCAATGGTCTAAACTTCTAAATCCCTTCCCATAATCATTTTAATTTGACTAAAAACAACCAATCTCTTGACTTGAATCATGAAGGACTACTATTAATTATAAGCAATTCCAGCATTCCTTTGCTATTATTTGTAAGGTATTGACTAGTTATTTAATTATACAACAAAAACTCCTTTTCCAAAACAACAAATCAAATGCCACTTCAGTACAACAGCTTAAAGTTGTAAAGGCACCAAATCCACAAAAATGGAAATCAAATTACCAAAAAATGACCACAAAAAAAAACCCTATATTAGAGAATAAATCAGAGATGAGAAGAAATATAGACACAAATCAGAGATAAACCGAAAATAAAAAATGCAGAGAAAACCCTATACAATGGAAGAAATCAGAGAAGACAAGACATGAAATACAGAGACAAATCAGAAAGAAACGAACGAGGGAGAGAAAATTTTAGAATTCTCTCTTTTTAGTTGGAAATCAAAATCCCATATTTTAGTTAATTAAAACTCTGATTAGCATTCTTAAAATTTTTAAATTTCTCCTAATAAAATATCCAAACAGTAAATTTTACCACAAAATTTATAAAATGCTTACTTAAATTACATTCCCCTTTTCAAATCCTCTATCCAAACACACCATCAAAGTATTCCAAGAAATAAATAAATCTCCATCACCTCAAACTCAAACTCGGTAACTACATTGTGAAGGGCATCAATCAAGAATTGAAACATTAGAAGTTTGGAATGGTGCCCACAAACCACAAGTGTGAGAACCGTTTCTTCAGACCAGACAACAACTCAATAAGAAAATAAACGATTTAGGGTTTTTATCTCACGACAAAACATTGGAGAAACTAGCTCCTCTAAATCTAATCACCAGAAAATAACTACAAGTCTGTAACTATCAAGTGTCAAATACACGAATACGGTCGTCAATGTTATTAACTGAAATTTAGAACTTACACATGCGAAATTCGAAGCATTTAGTGAAGCGCGGAAAAAAGGAATTAATAAAGAGAATTGAAAACCCTAAGAACCTGAAAAAGCGCTTTGGTTAACATAGGGTTTTGGATGAGGATCTGCCTCGCCTGTTGCTGGTTCTGTTCGATTAGATTCTGAGGTACAACAAACGAAATGGTTAACGCGTTGTTCTTCGTGAAGAGCCAAAAAGAACAAGTGATGTAACTTGTAAGTACCTTCATCTGAGACATGATATCGTAGAGCTGGTTCTTCGACATTCCGGCGAGGTTCGCCGGTAATCCCTCGCCGCCGACCTGTTTTCCGGCCATTGCTCCGCCCACGATGCCAGAAAGTGAAGTTGTTGACCATGTTTTGAAGGGAAAATAGTTTGCTGCTATGTTTGGGCCTCATGGGCTTATATTCATATGGATTGAAGATTTCCCTTTGGTCCAAAATCAACTGGGCTCACTCATGAATATGTATGGGCCTTATTGGGACATAAACACACACCTCAAAGTTAAATATATTTTTTTTCTTGATTGTAACAGATAATTTGTTCTCTCAATTTAGTTTGATTGGATTTACATCTTTTGCATTATGTTTCATTCTTTTTCTTATGAATTAAGAATTTAATTAACATGTATTTACAATACATAGTTTAATTAACACGAAAATGTACACGAGTTAATGGTCATATCGTTTTTTTTTTCGATATCAAAAAATTTAAATCATCAATATTTATTCTAAATGAACCCAAATAAAACTAACAAACAAATCAAAGTCATAATATTACACAACAAATTAACGAATACATCAAGACAATATTTGACAAACACGTGAAAATAGAATGATTAAAATATGAATGCAAACAAACTTAATGTATACCTGAACCTCCCAATATATGCTCCAAATACACCTGCAACATATTCAAAAGACAAATTATAATACTAAAGTGAACTAGAGAGTGACCAAAAGGGGACTTGAAATTAACCAACGATTACTTAAGTCTTCTTTTCTGCACAAAATATAAACATTTAATTTTTATCGTCAAGTCCTTTCTTGGCTATCAAAAGTTAGATAGGAACAAAAAGAAGGATCTTCTCACACACTTGGATAACAAATAAAATATATAATATATCAGTTAAAATAGGATGAGAAATTTACAACATCACAATTTTTTATATAACAACTTGTGATGTTGTTAAACTCTGAAGTGCAAAACTAGTTTAGGTTGACCTGAGATTTTCCAAATTAATTAAATCATTTAATTAGATCAAATAACTATTCATTCATATATACAACATCTTTCACTTTGTTTTTATTGATAGGTAGGGTTCTTTCACTTTGTTTTTATTGATAGGTAGGGTTTAGGGTTGATCATTAGTAATTTATGTGAGAATTATAGTTGAAAATTTATAGAAAGTCCATTTTATGAAATCTTTTAAAGATAAAAAAAATATGTATATTTTATTTATCATCAAGTAGAGATGAATATTAAACGATAGCAATAAAAAGTTTTTTGACACTTATTCAATATATTTATGAGGAACAGATTATTTCGGTTCGAAAATATCAAGAATTTCTAACAATTATATGGGAATAGGCTTATCTTTAAAGTATTTTTCTCTTTTCTAATTCTCAAGTTACATTAATTATATATCTTCCTTAAAATATCATTAATCAATCGTTCTTTTAGATAAAATATGATAAATATTTGAAATTAATTAAATAAAAATTCTCTCTCTTTCTAAGATTAAAAAATATTTATAGACACATAAATATCTTTTTCCTAAACATTAATTAATTAGATAGAAAATGATTAAAAAAAAGAGATAGAAAAAGTTAATTTTAGAAAAATAGTTTAAATTATTGAGAAAACTAATGTTTTTAACTTGTTTTTTTTTAATGTGTAATTTAGTTAAAAATATCTTATAATTTAAAAACAAATTTCTTAAAAAATATACTGTACATGTCATTTAAAAAGCTGTATAACATAAATTATTAATTACTTATATATAGAGAGAGAGTTAATCACCTATACACTGTTAGTATAAAGTTTTTTTATACTAGCAACCAATTAGATCTTTTAATAGTGTCATGTTAGTTGCTTATTTAATGAAATAAAAATAAAATGAGCAATTGACATGACACTATTAAAAGATCTGATTAGTTGTCAGTGTAAAAATTTTTTTATTGATGATTAACTCATATATATATATAAAGGAGGGATCTTTTTACTCTAGAAGTAAATCTACCTAAACTTACTCCTTTTAATAAATCATGTTCTACATCAAATTTCAACAATCCAACCGTTTTCAATTTAAAGTTCTTAATACATATATCAAATCTGTAAATTTTTAGAAAATTTGAAAATCATTTGATACTTCATTTCATTAATTCAAATTGACGAATAATCATAAAATCATTTTATACATTGATTCGAATTAATAAAACAAAGTATCAAATGATTTTCAAATTTTCTAAAATTTTACAGATTTGATCTACGTATTAAGAACTTTAAATTGAACGGTTGGATCGTTAAAATTTGATGTAAAATACGAGTTATTGAACGGAATAAGTCTAGGTAGACTTATTCCGAGAGTAAAAGAATCCCTCATCATATATATATATATATATATATATATATATAATCATGTCATTTATGTAGTAAAAATCTGATCTCTCTTTACTTCATTGACACTAAAATTTCACTATTTTAGCAAGACACGAAAATATTTGTTCTGTCTCATCAGTCCACCATAGTATTGATTGACACTAATTAACCTCTTAATTTTTTTCTGATTAAAATTAAAGACCTTTTTCAACATTGCCTTCTTTGAAGTTTGAACTTTAATTCTCTTGTGTAAGGAAGTGTGTTCTTCAAGGTGTTACATTCATAAATGGCATCCTAAATACCAATTATATGAATGTTATTATGTATAGGTAAATTTTAAAACACGTTTAGTTAGTATTTAATAGGGTTTGAAAAATGAGACTATATATTGAACCGAGACGGCTGGTCAATTAAGAAGACCCACAAAATTGCACCATTAATAAAATGATCATGAACTGATGTAATATTTTGGGTTTTGATTTTAAAATATGAATATGACTTCATTTTCTGTCTCTCCATGATATCTTAATTTCAAGTTTCACATCCGTAGGATGCATGGCAACCCAGGAAGAAGGATGCAAAATAGTGCCTTCTAATTAGATTTCGGATTTCTCAGATGTATTTATTCAACTAACGATGATACGTTCATCTCTGGCTTATTTATTCCCTCACATACTACTTTTTTTTTTTTTTAATAACTATTTTTTTAATGTAAGAAGTTAGGACATTAAGTATAATAAAAAATTATACTTAATACTCAAAGTTGCGAGATTTTTCTATCTAATGAACTAGTCTATTATACTATTTTATCACTTTATAGATTAGTAAAAAAAAAAAAAAATCTTTTGGGTTGACTTCTGACTCACATGAGAGTTATATATCATTAGGCTTTTATTAAATACGTCTCTTTAACTTTTTTTTATTATATATATTTAATTTCTTAATTTACTTAAATTATATAATATATTTTTGAAAAAAGCTTTCTAAAATGGTACATATATTATTATGGAAATAACTTCATAAAAGTATAATTTATAACATACTTCTAAAAAAATACTATTATCTCTATAAAAATAGATTTCATTACTAAAATTTCTCTTATTACATGTAAATTTTAATACGAATTTTATATAAAAATTTGCAACAAATATTTTTTTTTACAAATTTTTCTGTGAAATTTTATCTTCAAGTAATACCTTCATGGATAATATGTTTTTGCAAATTTTAAAATTCACAAGAAATTTTTCTGCAAAGTTTATTGTGAAAAAATTCATAGGAAATTTTCCTACAAATTTTATTAATTTTTCAACTTTCAAATGCTCACAATGAATTCATCCGAAGCATTAAGAAATTTGCTTCCACACTTTCAACATCTGATACATAATCTTTTAAACTCTTAGATTATAGATTATAAATTTAACACTCAATCATACAATCAACTTGTAAGGTAAATGTTGTCCCAACTTATATATTCTTTCATTGTTTTCTTTTCAATTGATGTGGGACTTAAAGTTTTCTTTAAATATTAATTAAATCATGTCTTTAGAAAAATGATTAATTCATTATATTAAACAATAAAATATTATTATAAATTATTTTAACTCTTAAAATATTCAATATTCTAAAAAAATTAGTTTTTTATTTAATAATTTTATTTTAAAAACTATCAATCATTAATTTATACATTTATTTAAAATAAATATTTAATTTATTAATATTTTAAATTAAAATTAATTTTATGAAATATTTATAAATAATTTAGTAAAATAATATTTTATTAAGTAAATACTTTTAATTTTCCATTAAATTAAAACTCGTTATCATTAATTTATCATATTTATAAAATTTTATATATTTAATTAAATTAAATTAAAATTAAAATTAGTTATAATGATATATTTATAAATAATCTAGTAAAATAACATTTTTTAATTAAAATATTAAATGTATAAATTTAAACAAATTTTATTTTATTTTTCCTGTAGATTAAAATTGACAAGAAAATCTGTAGGAAAAGTTACTTACAAAATTTTTCTACCATTTAGTAAACATTACTTGCAAATTTATTTTTATAAGAAAATCTGCAAGAATCAAAATAAAATTCTTACAACATTTTCTGCAAATTTTTACCATGAAATTTTTTTTATGATCATTAAAATTGTAGCAAAATTTGCAAAAATTTCTTGTAAATTATTTTTCATAAAAAAAATTATAAGAAATATATGTAAATTATTTTTCGTAAATAAATTCATAAAAAAATGTTGTGAAATTATTATTGCAAAGAAATTTGCAAAAAAATTTGTAAATATTTTTTTTAAGAAAATTTACAGATAAATGACATTTTTCTAGTAGTGTTTATTCTAATTGAACATTTATTGGGAAATCAATGGAGCCGTACATTTGAAAATCAATAAAAATTTATTGAAAAATATCCATAAATATATTTCTCTTTTACATTTATAATCACCAAATACATTATAATTATATTAATTAAATCTTAAAAAAAATTATTGATGAAAGTATTATAATTTAATACATGTTCGTACCTTATATCTAATAATGTAGAGAATAATAAGATGAAATATTTTTTTTAAAGAATGTTGAAATTAAGAGTGTAAAAAATAAAAATAATAAAAAATAAAAAATATATGAAATTGTGAAGGATTTGATTGCCGGAAAGATAAATCAAGAAAAAGAAAAAGAATTGTGATTTACATTCCTCATATCAGATTTAGGCCTAATGAACCAGAGGTCATAATTTCCTTAAGAGCCTTTGCATGCTTCAATCAACAACCTACATTCTTAGGATACGTTTGGAATATAATACATGTTAGAACGAAATGAAATATAGGAGTTATGTTCCCTATTTAAAAAGAGAGAATAAAATGAGACACATGATTAAAATAATGGATTGAACACTTTTGTTTCTTAAAAAAAGTACAACCAATTGAGATGGGATAAGACATTTTATTAAATATTTTTTAATAATAAAATTATCACTTCTTATCTTTATAACTCTTTCACTGTATATCTGACTAAAAAAACAAAACTTTTATCGCAATCTTTTTTCACCCGACACAGTTCGTTGCTCTTCTTTTTCTTTCCTTGTAATATTTGTTGCTCCCATTATATACAAAGACAAAACATGTTTTTTTCTCTTTGATTGTGTTATTTGCATCATTGAAATTTTTGTGGTTTGTTATTTATATCATATAAATTACTCATCATTTGAATTATTATCATTTTTTTATTTGAAACTTTTTTATATAGTAATAACTATATATTTAAGTTAATTATATTTTATCAAATATTTCATATTTACATATTTAGAAAATAATTATCAAATATAAATATTAATATATTAATAACTTTTAAAAATATTATATAATAATAATCATAAAATAATAAATATAAAAAAATGTTTTATTTCGTTTTATTTAATTTTTTATATTCAATCAAATATTAAACAAAATAAGGATATATATCCAATTAATCATGATTTTCTGTTTTATTCAATAAACACTAAACACAGAATAAAAATACACATATGGTTCCGTTCTATTATTATCTAATACAATATAAATATATCATTGTTTTATTCCATTCCATTCTGTCTCATTTCATTACCGAACGCTACCTTAATGATGCTTCACATAATAGCACAAAAATCATACTCAATCAGATGCAACTGAACCCTTGAATAATGTCTTGCATAGGATATAACAGTTTTTGTTTCCCTGACATTTCTCATCCAAGTTAATTCTGTTGCTTGACCGACTAAGGAGAATTTCCTTATCAAGATTTCAACAATGCATGCATGAGTATAATGTTTACAACATGAATAAGAGTTATCTTGAAAAAGAAAGTGATTCCATTCTCCTTGGAAATGGCACCATCTTCATTTTTATCTATATGGAATTGAGACATTATAATTCACATGATATATATTATACACGTATTTTACTTTACACAGCTTCACCAAATGGAGTCCATATTGAATGGTTGCTCCAGCTGCGGCACACAGGATTCTAACGCTTTGGAAGAAGAAGAAGAAGCACTGAGATCAGTTCCTGCTCCAATATTATTATTGAGAGAAAATCCTTGAGTTGCGAAGTGATGATGATGATGATCACTCCTAAGTTGTAACGCCTTGAAAAGCAACGAATTCATGGAAAGGTTTGTTGGATTGAGCAATCCAGAAGGCCAATTCATGGTAAAGTTCATGTTTGTGTTGCTGAGATCAGCACCGACATTATTGTATATTTGTCCTCCAATGTTGGTGAAGCTACTAGAAGAATTTGCAATGGTATTTAGATTGGGTAGGTCAACGTCACCAAATTCGTTGACCATTGAGGTAGGGGACTCTTGAGGTGGTGGTGGTTGGGAGGATGATGTTTGCTGTGGTTTCTTGGGTGCTGAGTTCTTTTGGAACACTCTGCAAACCACCCATTCTTCCTGCAAAAATCAATTAACAAATCATACCAAAATTTATTTCTCAACTATAGTAAAGTCTAAACATGTACGTTGTACATATAACATAGGACATGTTGATTAAAGCATACAGAGGCTCTGTGTGAACTGTGAAGTACGTACATTGGCATTGACTCATTAGATTTATATTAGACAATTTATTTTTAGATTATGAAAGGATAAAAAATAATTTATGATCTATTGAAATTTTATTAAAAATTTAATCCATTCATAACTCGTATTTAATAACTTTTATTCAAACTATTCACGAACATTTTTATTTTATTTTATGGATGGTCATTCAATTCATTCATAAAGTTATTTTTAAAAATTAAATATTTTTATAATTATTTTGAAATATTTTCACATTTATTCAAAAAAATGTTTTTAAAATTATTATTTTTTGTTGAGTTCACTTTAAAGAAATGATTATTTGTTTTATTGAACAGATAATTTTTTTTGCATAAAAATAGTTATATTTTTTAAATTTAAAATATTTTGATTAATTTATAAAATTAATATATAAGAATTTTATTAGTATTTTTAATAAATTAAAGATATGAAAAAATATGTTGAAATAATTTTGATTCATAAGGTTTTAATTAGATGATTTATTGGATTAATTTGAAAATAAGATAAGATATATTGATATTTATCCATTTAATTATATGATTCATCCAATCAAGTTTAAGTATTTTTCCTTTAACAAACAGATATATAAATTAGATTAGATTTAATAGAATTAAATCATCATAAACAAAAAGATATTTTGTTACCACTCCTAGATTTAGTCAAGAGCTATAGTCAATGGATTAAAGTATATACATTTAAAAGATAAATAACATTTATAATTATTAATTAAAAAAACATGATATATATGCGTATTTTATTACAATCATAATATTATTAATTTTATAAAATATAATTATACTTTATCTAATAAAATATACTTTTAAAAATTTAAAATAAATAAATTATAATTTATTTAGGTTTAATATGATTTTCTATAGGTATATTTAAGTTAGTAGAAGTCACAATCTGTGAATATAAATTAATCTTTGATTATTAATTTTTGAATTATATCTATAGAAAAAAATACAAATCATCGATGAATAAAAAAAATATTTCCTTGAATATGTATGTGTATAAAATCTCAAAAAAGACTATAATTGTAATTATATGATTAGTATATTTATTTAATGATTTTTAAGAAATTATTAATATTAAATGACTAAAATAATATTTTTAAGAAAAGTTTAATTATGTGCATAAATGTCAATATGTCATGCATGTTGAAAGTTAATTATTACATATCCTTTCTTGGGATTTTATTTAATAAATGTGAAATAAACTTATTGGTATATGCCAAGAAAATGAGATACTATTTGAAAATGAAATAACTTTTTCGAGTATATTTATTTTAACATAGCTATATATATATATATA